CTGGAGGCCACGTCTCTGGCAACTGAAAAGCTTCAAGAAACTTATCTAAAGTCAAGAAGGAAAAAGTTCAATGATGACCATTGATGACAACCACTGATGACAATTTACAATACAATTACCCATGGTTAAATATTTCTATTATGCAGATAAACACAGGAAAGAAGACAGCTGCTGTCAGAAAACAAATTGGTAGGAGAGTAGTTTTCATTGTAGATAGAAATTTGAGGATATAAATAAATTCAGTTTATTGTATTTAGTGAATATTCTCCTACTAATGAAAACCATTGTAGTCATAAAAGGATATTCTCAAGAATCAGGAACACAAAAAATTGTTCTATGGAGTTTAACCATTCAGCTTTTTCTATAACTTTGCTAGAAATTTATGAAAGAACCTAAACACCATTGGATTAAATATTTAGCCAGAAAAGCTGATGTTTGTCACAGGAGAGTTCCATTAGTAAGAAATTTGACTTGAAAGTTCTCTGATATACTTTGAATTTTACTTCCCTTCTTTGCAGTAATCCTAACACGCTTTAAACAAATATTTTAACATTTCATTTAAAAGACAAAAAGACAGATGCTCCTTTATAGGATCACTTGCATGAATAATCTTTAACATAACTAAGGCTGGATATTGTTAGAATATTTTTATTTTTAGCTGAGAAAAGCACATTTATTTTCAGAGATGAAGTTGAAAGACTATGCTGAGCCACACAGAGATATGGTGCAAACTTAACTCGTAATTATATGTAAAGAAAAGCTGAAAGATCCCATAGGAAGGTGACAAGTTCTTATTTTACTGAATGATTTTTTTAAATACAAACTTCCTCACTTCTGACAAATTAGCTCAGAGACCTTTTACTCGAGTCCGTTAGGAGCCATGCTATTCAGAACCTAACAAAGATCAGAATCCCATGTAACCAGATTTCCTGCAATTCAGGCAACAATGCACAGACCATGCTGCTTCACACACTCATTCAGCCTTAGCTATCTTAGATCAAAGTTTCATCAAATGTTAAAGAAAGATGAAAACCTCTCATATTTGATGTATCACACTGAAGTTGTAATAAATACTAGATATTTACTAACAATCCTTCTGGAAAGGACAATTTTAAAACAAAGCTTTCAAATATTTATGGTAGTCCCTCTCTTCATTAGAGGTGCTTCCAACCTTCTGCACTTCCAAGCCTTAAACGAAATAATCTGGTGCATATTTTTCTTTTGCTTGGTACCAGCAGCAGTCACAGCTGTGCTGATAAGGGCTTGCTTGCTTTATTGAAGCATATTTACTATAAGAACTCTAGTTTAACCTGTAACACATTCATTACAATGGATTTAAATTAACTTTTGTGAATTTATTTCATCTTACAGGACCATAATGCAGGGTGAATCTCTCCTGAGTGTGCTTGAGACTTGACCTGGGTGCTCACCACCATTTCAGACCAGTAATTACCTCTCTGCCATACTCCACACTAACGCACTGCCACTATTTATTTTGGGGAAGATTGGAAGTGATCTCTTCAGGTGACTGACAGTAACTCACTCCAGCAGAGAAAGTGCTGGGTCAGGACAACCGGCTGGCTGATCTGGGTAGAGAGTCTCACATTGCAGCAGCTGCCTCTGCCGTATCTGACTCATGAATAAAGGGCTTGTTTTCTATCCCGACTTTCAATTAAATTTTGGTAAACACAGACATTTACCAAAACATTTAAAACAATTTATCTGACTCCTGAATGAATGGTTGTTTTCCCTGGACCAGAGTCAAAGCCTGAAGCCCTATTCAGAGAAAATTTCAAATGATCAGTGAACAGTGGAAATTTCTGTTTCTGATCTTTGCAATGTCAGCAGTTCAGATTTTGTTAAAAAAACAGAATGCAAGGTACTACCAGACTTCAAGGTGTTTTTTTTTTTTCAATTCCCTTTTTTTGTCTTAAGGATAAGAGTCAAGGGGAGGGAATTCTTCTATTAGGGATATCACAACTTAGAGGCCAAGTAGGAGTTCAGACACAAAACCTGATCTTAAAATGCTTTTCCTCCCTTAAGAGCCTGTTTTATAGAGGTATTGAGCTCCCACAACTTTACACTGCAGTTTCTGAGAACATGTATGCTGCTTTCAGCTTTTCATGGGAGAAGGCCAGTGTTAGCAGCTACTGATGAAGATGCCAGGATGGCTTGGAAAGGTTTCCAGACGCCCACGCCACCTTCTAAGAGATAGGAAGCCAAGAACATCGTGGTCGATAAAAGCACAATTAACCTGTAATACTCAGTTTTCAAAAGATGTATACCTTTTGCAGTCAAACCTGTCTCTCCTGGTAAAACAGAAAAGTTACATTTACAGCTTCTTCAGTCCATTTTGTACGTCTATAACTGCTGTCAACACACAGCTTCTTGGGTTGTCCAGCAACGAACTCAATGTTGTGGAGTAATCAGCAGTTTTGTATTTTCCTAGCTGTTGATCTGAGGCATGAGGGAAGAAGAAAAGTAAAAAGCTTGTATCCTCCCCCTGCTTTCACGTATCTGCTCATGGTCAGGCACACCTCATCCCAAACAACTTGGGTTTATTATTGTGATCAATACTGAAACTACTTACTATGCTAAATCTAAGCTTATCATTCAAATAGTCCCCTGTAAGAAAGTAATGCTTTATGGTGAGTTTTGAATTTAAAAAAATATTAGGGAAGAATTGTGATTAGACCAATCCTGTGCTGAAGTGTTCTATGGGCTCATGCTCAGAGGTAAAACCGGCTGCTTACTTTCTTCACAGCAAGATCAGGCAATTGATTTTGCAGATTTCTGAAGCTATGATTCCAAGTACCTGAATTTTAAAATATATTCCAATAGATTTCCTCACACCACTGAGGAAAAGATTAAAATGCAGTCATGTAATATATGATGTGGTTGGATAGTGCAAGTCTTAAAAATGCTGAACATTCAGAATGAGTGGCTTCCCTTAAAATGAATTTCACTGGCAAGTGCACTATATGTTACTGTGACAGAAGCAACTGCTCTCTTTGAGCAGTGCAAGTGACCGCCAAAGTCTGCCAAGAAGGGATGGAGGACAGATTCCAAAAACCTTTCCAGGATTCTAACACTGAATTACCAACAGAGAAGATCAAAATGAAAATGCAAAAATAGGTTTTATTAAGGATGTTGATGGTGCCTCAGACCAACAAACTGCCTTTTGAACAAATTGACTACTGACCTCAGACAGCCACTTTTTATTTCTTTTTCATTATAGTTTTTATACTGATCTGTATGTGCATACATATGTGCATGTGTTTATAAATAATTAATTTCTTAAAGAATATACCAATGCAAATGAAAATGCAAGGTGATTTTTATTAGCTTTTAAATCAACAAACAGGAATTATATCTATTCATTTCAGTTCTGCATGAAGCAAAATTTCACTGGCTGTACATATCACATCTTAAACTGCGCAGGCAGTATTGAATTAACACCAACTTTTAAAGAGTCAGTCATAAGAGGTGCCAATCACTGCACTTGAAATGAGAAGTAAAGGCACTCAGAGTTAAGTACAGACTGCACCACTCACTTTTAACATTTTCAAAAGAGAAAACATGTCAGTGCTAAAAAGGTAAATGTTATACTATAAAACCCACCCCACATTAATTTCTGCAACCCCCTTGTTCCATTCACAGGTGAGGAAGCAGAAGTCCAAGCACACACAGCATGCAAAGATTTCCAACTCTGCACACCAAGACCTGCTCAGTTGACACAGGGACCTCTTTGGGATCTCTAGGCACATAGCAAATAAGAAACCCTTTTCAACATTACTGAAATGATTAACATATAGCAGATGTCATTAAATTTAAGGCTATGCACAGTTACACTGATACCTCCCTCTTCAATTATTCACAATTTATAAGTGTCTGCAACAGCAGACAACAGTAATAAAGTACAAAAAGAAATCAACACAGCCCCATAACACAGAAAAAAACTCAGCCCTCCTTGATCCATCTGACCTCAGCTAGGATTGAAACATGTTATGTGGTATGTTCAGAGCTTTGTTCTCTATGGCTCATCCACGTATATTGTACTCTACTGCCCCTCCAAAACATCATCAAAACATCCTCTCTTTGTTCTCCAAAAGCTGCAGGCCTCTCTTGTTTTGATGTTATGTCTGGCCTGCAACATTTCATAGCAGACCATCAAGCTGTCCTGTCACCAGTACGTTACTGAAACCTCTGCAGGTTCAAGTGTGGCTGAAGGCTGAGTCCAATCAAACTAAATCTCCATTACAGAGAGAGTAAGAACTAATTCCACCATTTTGCCTTTTTAAGAAGGTTTCTGTGTGCATGCAAAGAGACCAATATCAAGCAAACCAACCACCCCCCTCGCCCTTGTGTTTCTTATTGAGCATTAATTGAACACCTACTGCCATGGGACCTTGCTCTACAACAAAGGCTGACAGGTGTTACGACAATTCAGCAGTTGCAAAAAATTAAAACTTATTATAAATACCTTATCTGGCATTATTGCCATCATCTTAATTAAAAAAAGGCAACAAAACCAAACCAAGAACTGAGATTAGAGCCCTAGTATAAGGAATAGTACAAACAATTTAACAGCAAGAATATTAGAGGCTTGGGCGCACTGAATTGCTCTGTTTTACAATTTTCCTCTGAGGCTGCACACTTAGAGACATAGTTTCAACCTAAAAGTCTATCTGAATATTCTCAGTGACAAATGTAGGCAGAATTATATTATGGTACACTGCAAATCCAACTCTGTGAAAGGATCGTAATTCAACAGTGGCAATCTGGGACTTGCTGTCAGCTTATACAAGATCAAACAATTCATCAGCAACACTCTACACAGTAAAACTGAGCAAACTAAGGACCAGGCAAGACAAAGACAGAGGAAAAAATGGAAGACAGAAGATGCCTCAGTTTCCCAGTCTTCAAGCATCCGGTTTGAACATCAGGACATTATAACGATGCTGGGAAATTGGTAATTGAAGCCTTTTATTTAAACATACCAGATATCTTTCCTCCTGCCTCATGCTGGGGGTACGGATCATGTGATTCTGTTCTCCCCTCCAGTCTCCGAATCGTCGAAAAAAATAATTGGATAGGAATCGATTGACAGGATCTCTAATAATATTGATGTACACCGGCTGGTCTCCTCCAAACCTGGTGGGAAGAATAATGGGTGAATCTCATCAGAGGGTTCTACACAGGCACATATCTAATGTCTCTCACCTGAATCCTTTCAAATTATTTCCTACAGAAATTGAGAGATTTTACAAGGTTAGGGGTGAAACTGAGACTCTTACAACTAGTTTTCAAAACTTTGTAAATGCATATAAGATCTCTTTAGGATGAACAGTAAATATGATATCACATTAAGCTATATGTGAACTACAAACATTTTGGTTTAAGACCATTTTTTTCTACCGTATCAACAGTTTTGCTTCTTGAGTTCTGTCCTTGCTGTTTTCAGATGAAGAAAACATTCTGCAGATGAATCAGAGAATGAGCATTTCTTCAATCTCAACACATTTGCCATCTGGGAAGTCATGTCAGAGCAGGTACCACCTAACACTAACTGCCATAAGGCAGACTTGGATCACCTTCACCTGTACAGTGTGTCGTAACGTGCAAAGGATTTTGCAACATGCAAGCTTTTTTCCAAAGGCTTCCTCTGGATGAACTGACAGATATGCATGGTATTTCCACCTTTATATTGCTGGAACTTGTGCAGACCTTCATCCCCTCACCCCCAGCCTACACCACGAGCTGCATTTCAGGTTATTTCATGGTTACACAAAACCTTATCCCTGTACTGCACTTCATGAACTGTTCTGTGGTCAAAATTGAAAAATGGACATTCATGGAAAAGACTTATGGACTACAAACGCTGTGAGTTAAAGAATAAAATAAACCAAAACCTTCCTGAATTGAGAAGTTCATATGATAAATTCAACTTGGAATTTGCCTGATCTAACAACACGGACTATGATTCTCCCTCCTGATTCCCCAATTAAGTGAACAATTCTCACTTAAGCACTAGCATATGCTTTATTTTTGGGAGCTAGAGGACATAGCCACACTGAAGTATTTAAATGCTATTCTGATGATTTTCTGAGTCACAATTTAAATATTTTCTTCTAAAATGTAAAAGATTAGAAGAGAGAAAACTGAAGACACTCTTTAGATTAAAAAAAACTCTCAGCCTCTCCTCATTTTTTGAGTAGATGAATAATTGAATTCATACAATAAAAGATCAGGGCTTCTCATAAATATTAAAGAGGAAGCAAAATTGTTTAAAATTAAAAATTCTAGTAAAAGACAATAGAAAAATCTCATAGAGTTTCAACTTGACTTTGATTCTGCATGATTCCCCAGGCCTCTAAACACAGTCTGCAAAAGCTTGCCTCATGAATAACTATGCATATCAGTATTTCATTGACCTCAATGTTGCAGGATCACTGCCATAATTTGAAATTGCACAGACAGCATAAAACTTTGAAACAATCCAATTAAAAAGGCAGATGCTCCTTGCTTCTGAATTAATGCATAGCCCAGTTTGGACATGGGTGTGCAAGTAAAGTTTCATTAATTTAGTATCCTGCATTCTTCTCTGAGCTTATCTTTGCTGCTTTTTGTTTTCATACAGAAATAAAACCTACATTAAAAAAAAAGGCATTCCTGCAAATACCACAGGACAATGAGGGCATAAAGCTTTGACAAAATTTATTCAAATAGAAAGTTTTTGGTGAATGTCATGGCTGGTACCTTTGAAAACTAAACTTTTCAAGTGAAATTGCTGGCAAGAATAGATTGCATCTAAATTACTGAACACATTATCTTCCTGCTGCTTGATGCAGCTCAGTAATAATCTAAAGACAGAAGGCAGTGGAGAAGAGTAAAGAAAAGGGGAAGCAATGGAGACAGTAAGAAGGGATGATAGCAGCAAGCTGTCTAAAGACAGAGACAAAAAATTACAAGATTCAGAGAAGCAAGAGAGCAGAGATGTCCTACCCTGGGTTTTCTGGAGGATGTTAAGCCTAAGCGTTCATCAGAAGAGTGAAAAATCAAAACCAGAAAGCTATTAGTTGTCTAGATAGAAATTTTCAACACATATTGTCTTTTCTGAAGTAAAAGGAGGGGTGAAGTTGCATAACCAATCCACCAAAGTCCCAGAGCCCATCCTTTTGCTGGTAAGGTCATGTCTCCGAAGACAAGGCCTGTAAATTCAGTACCAACAGCTCTGAGAAAAGAGGCTCATACAAGCTCGTCTGTTCCAAGAAGACAGCTGAGATGGGAAGTCACCCTTTCACAAATGCTACAAAGGAACTTCCATTTCTGAAATGGAGACTGTATGTGCCTCCCACCCCCCAAACATGAGACAGCTTGAATTTCTGATTTTCTGCACAATATAACGAGCCTGCTGCACATCCAGCTGCAGTTGCTCCACCAGGCAACAAGCAAGGAATTTTTAGGAAAATTAACTCTGTTCTGGCTCTTATTCAAATGTGCATTTTTTTAAAACATAGTTTATAAAACTTCAGATTTCAACCATTTGTTTCTATGGACTGTACTGAGAGTCTTTTACGGAAGCTGAACAGCAGTCACATAGCATAAAAAATCCTACCCATTAAAAAAATCAATTACCTTAAGCTATTTAGAGAAAAGGGTAAATCAATGCTCCAATTGTTCAAGTACGTTCTGCATATTTTTAGATACTTATCAATCACATCGTATTACTTAGCTCTCCAGAGTTAAACTTTTCAAATTAATAACACCCACCTGAAAGTGCTCTTATGAAAAAATACATTCGAGCTCTAATTATATATCATGTCACCTTATTTTTACTCAAACACCTATTGTGCATGATTTAAAATGGGGTAGATTCATATTTTCTAGGCTTGAGCAGAAGACTTACCTTATCTGAGTGGGATCATGACTGGATCCTGCATGATGAAGTTACCGATCCTTCTCAAGTTCAGCAGCACATTGCTGCAACTGGGAGAGTGGGCCAAGACAGCCCCACTCCAGCAGAGCACTGCAAATGTACACACCAAATCCTCTGCAGTGCTCTTCCTGTACTTAACTTCTTCTCCTGATTTATTTCATAAATACTATTAAATTCCATTAGTTTTAACTGCTCTGTTGTGAAAGGTATATTTTTGGAGTCCTCATCAACTAACCTAGAATATTTTCAGGCTTCAATCAATGATGGTTAGGTTCATTAATAATACATTCCCCTATGTCTTTTTTAATGAAAGCAAATTAAAAAAAAAGCTTAAGAAGTATGCCAGATGTTGCAAGCTTGCCTCTTAGAAAAACATCTCAGATAAATTCCAATTTTATTACTTGTCAAAACCATTTACAAACCCCTTATGAGTTAGGAAAAAAAAAATCAACCAAAGTGATTTGCTTGGCTTTAAAATGGAGGATTTCTTAGCTTCTATTATTTTTCATTTCACTTCAGAAGGCTGCTGCCCTCCCATTTAGCACAAAACTCTATGCACAAGCAGAAGCAGGTTTCTTCATCCCTGCAGGCAAAGTACAACTCCTCAATGAAAAGATAACTCCTAATCTATTCTCTATAAAAACCTTGTCTTCCTCTTACTCTCTTAATGTATGTCTCCCCTTAAACAAATGGATTGGTTGCTAGAAATTCAATACAATGGAAGCAAACAAGAACTGACATCACCTAATATTAATAGGGACAGGTATATTGTGTCCTTCTTACAAAGGAAGCACGATCTCCTTTTAACGTTGTACAACTGAGAATCACATGCCAAGAGCACAATTGCCCAGCAATTTACTCATCAATTATGTTACAGCTCAGTTAGCTGCTCTGCAGCACAGCTTCATGGAGAAGTCATGTAAAAGCACCAACATACAAATTTCACCTTTTTAGGGCTTAAATAAGATGCAGTTACTTCAAAATTTATCTTCTGGAAAAGGTATCTTGAAATGAATAGTTTCCATAATGTCTTGCACTAGCATGAACTTGTGTCAAAGCAATCCTTCTCTGCACACAAGGCATCAGGCGCCTCTGGGATGGTCCAATTACCTTCCTCAGGGATGGGCTGCAAAGAGGAGTGAGCTGAGGTACTGCCTGCTTGGGACTACATGGTATTGCCAGCCTCCATACTCAAGGAGTTTATCTTCCCGCTTTTGTCTGTAGTGCCTCTCTCCTAGCCTTCACCCTGTGCTTTGGTCACGTTTTCAACCTTTTCTTTAGAATTAGGAGAGAAAAAAGGAAAGTGAGTTGATATAGGGCATTTCTATACTGATGCACCTATGTCACCTATACAGTTATTTCAGTCATAATAGTGCTGGCATAGCTGAACTGGTACAAGGTAGAGCAGACTCCAGTTAGAAACTTTGGCTTCACAAAGCCTTTTTCCTTTCTCACAGACTACTAACTAAGCTGCCTCTCCCCAACAAGCTGAACTAAAAGTTATGCCAGTTTCCTTTTTTATTACTGCTCTCTGGTTTATCTTAGACACAAAACAAACAACGCAGAGAAGCGATGTAATCAGGTTCCCTGGAAGTGTTGAAAAAACATGTGGATGCAGCACTCAGGGACATGGTTTAGTGGTGGACTTGGCAGTCTAGGTTAACAGTTGAACTTGATGATCTTAGAGTCTTTTCCAATCTTAACAAATCTATGATTCTAAGAGATAAATATCTTTATTTCAAAACTGCATCTTTGGCTGGCCTGGCCTTCAATGGGACATGTGTGTGAGGATACAAGGTGCCCAGTGGTTCAAGGTTAACAGTAAAATAGTGCACACTGGCAGCACTCCTCATTAATTACCCTTTCTGGAGCTGTGATTTCAACAGTAGAAATTTCAGCTTCTGAAGTGATGTATCTGGGTCATGTCATTGTAAAATTACAACTCAGTCCTCTGGGAATTGTTTAGTAAGCTGTTGCAGACCAGCAAATGGCTAAAAGATAACACTATAAACCCTTGTATTTCTGTATTTCACTATCGTGTAAATCTCCCAGAATATTTTAGGCTGTATTTCTGTCAGTCATTCATGCATGCTAAACAATGAGCATTTTTTTCCCCATGCTTTTCATTCTCCTGAGGATATCAAAGTAGTTTAATATATGAATTCACAATGAATAGCACAAACATGGATACAAATTGTGCCTGGGTCTGTATAGT